ATTTACTAGTAATTCAGCATCTTTTGGACTGAAGAAAATGCAACTTTGGAGAGCTCACTAATGTAAGCATCTAGATTAAAGAAGAGTCAAGAAAGATACCTAAGTTTTTAACTGTGGCAGATGGGATAATTGATGTGGCTTCGAGGTAAAATCTAGGGGCATTTGTTATGTTTTTTGTTACAGTTGGGGGCCCGACAAGTAAGATATCTGTTTTACTCAAATTCAAACAGAGAGAGTTGGAGCTAAGCCAGGTCTTTAACTCATTGACGCAAGACAATAGAGATGTAGTCTGGTGGATAGAGTCAAGTCAGCAGGAAGTGCATATCTGAATATCATCGGCATAGCAGTGGTACTGTAAACCGTGGCGGCGAATAATTTGTCCGAGGGGCATAATATAAACAATAAATAATAATGGCCCTAGGACTGAGCCCTGTGGCACACCCTGTGTACGAGGTACAGAGGTAGATTTATAGTTATGTATGGTGATGTAATATTGTCTGTCCGTCAAATATGAGGAAAACCAGTATAACGCCGTTCCTGAGATGCCAATCTCTGAGAGGCGCATGAGTAGTAGTTTATGAGAGACCGTATCAAAAGCTGAGCTGAGATCGAGTAGTAGAAGTATAGAAAGATTGCCCGAATCACCAGAAAGGAGTAGGTCATTTATAACCCTTACTAGAGCAGTTTCAGTACTGGGTTGTGAACGAAAACCTGGCTGAAACATACCAAAGAGTTCATTGTGAGCTAGAAATGACTGCAATTGAGCGGCAACAACCTTTTCCATGATTTTTGAAACAAACGGTAGGTTGGAGATTGGGCGATAATTAGTGTAATCAGTTGGGTCTAGATTTGGCTTTTTAAGAATAGGAGTAACAGCAGCAGTTTTAAGTGAAACTGGAACAGTGGCAGAAGTAAGAGACATGTTTACAAGATGTGAAATTGGAGCAGAAATGACAGAGGTGCAGTGTTTCAAAAGGAATGTTGGTGCAGGGTCAGCCCGGCAGGAAGAAGAAGTGGATTTCAATATTATTTCACTAATTGAGGTGGGATTAGACAAGGAGAAGTTATCGAGCGTTTGAATAGACATTATGAATTTACAGAGCTAGCGCACAAGTAGAAGTGTTCAGTTCTGTTTTATAGTGCTTAACATGATCTGAAAATGCCTGAAAGTGTACAGTTAATCCCGTTTTCCTAAAATGGCTTTTTTTGGAGATGAGGAGCATGCTCATCTAAAACATCGGCAATAGCAGAGTGATACAAATCAGATATCTTGGATGGACAGGTAAAATTGAAAACATCAGAAATAACAGATGAAGCAATAGAGGCAGTAAATGTATCAAAAGTGATAGCATTGAACTTACGATAAGAAATGGTTATGTTGTCAGTACATTTGGTTGGATAAGTTAGTGTAAAGTCAAAAGTAATAAGCTTATGATCAGAAATAGGAGTAGCCAGACCACTAATGGAGATATTGTTCAAACCAGATGTACAGACTAAGTCAAGCGTATGACCATGAGTGTGAGTAGAAAAGTTAACATTCTGATAAAGATCGAAGCAGTCCAGAACAGTCGTTAGTTGAGTACTATTAAAACAGTGTGTATCAACATGGATGTTAAAGTCACCAAGTAAGATGACCTGGGCTGATGATGCACAGGCAAGCGTTAATAGTTCACTGAGTTCAGAGAAAAAGTCGTTTTGCTGTTTGGGTGATCTATAAATCAAAATAATTGTGAGGGAACGATTTGAGCCAACCTTCAGAACTATGTATTAAAAAGTCTTAGTACAATGAAAATCCATCTGAGTGAGTGTTATAGAGGTATGACAGATGACCGCAAGGCCACCCCCTTTACCAGATACACGTGGCTTGGACAAGTACTGATATCCATTCGGTGTAAGCAGATTAAGATGGATGAAATCATCAGGTGTTTGCCAGGTCTCAGTAAGAAATAACATGTCCAAGTCGGTATCCGCAATTAGTTCGCAAATATAGCAATTTCCATCACACTACAATACTAATTTCTCACTAGAAATTATATCTAAAGTGGAAAAAGTTGGTTAAAAACCTACATCTACTTGTACACACAAACTGCTTAAACTGGTGTCCACTGTTTTTTCTTAGCTCAGCTTAAACATTGGTATTTTTGCTGCTTCATATTTTGCACATGATTGATCCAGAAATAAACATAAGAAACGAGTCCAGAAAGCTCATTTTAGTTTCAAACAGTCTATTACATTCAATTAAGTCTCTTTGTACAATTAATTTCTCTCAAATGTGTTGTTGATTTTAAACTGTTCATTTAATTATTTTAGCAATGCTTAATTTTAAAAGTGCACTTTAAAAATAAAAACGGCAGTGGTGCATAAGATTGAAAGAATATTTATATCACATTCATAAAGCAAGATGCCTTAGAAGAAAACTTGGCATTTGTTTTACTGCTGTTATGTTCAGATTTGTTCATTTCTCAGAAGCTTCTATTCAAACTTATGAGGATCATTACAAGCAATACCAGATACCAATGTGGTGGGATGACCTTTATAAGTCAGTAGTAAACAGGCAAAAGGGGCCATGAGGTGACTTTAAATCAACAGGCACATTTTTATTCAGACAGGTCAAAAATATTAAAACACTACATCACCAATCTTTGATGCAAATACCCACATGAGAAAAAAAGGAAAATAAAAATAAATAAGAAACAACAAAAAGAAAACCAACTATAGATGGCCACAGGTTACCTAGAAAGTGAAGACAGAAGTGGCACAAGAGCAAAAGTGTCCTCACAGCAGTCAAGCTCACAGCAATCACACTGCAAACCTACAGGAAAAACAAAGATAAAGTGATCAAACCACCACACAATCCCAGCTACCTCACCACCGCCATCCACACAGTGAGGGCAACTCAGTGGCCACCATTGGCTTAAGAAACCAAAACTGAACCTACAAAAGAAAAGAATAAACAACTTAATTAACAGTGGGCAATGCAGGTGACACAAACACAAGTCAGCATTGTAACACAGTCACTATTAATCCAGTTTCTTTGAGGCCTAATCTCTCCTCTGACACTCTGGGTCCCAAATTCACAGAACAAAATAAATAAAAAACAATAACAAAAGTATTAAATCTAAAGTAAACGGTAACCGTGCATCCTAAAAGGGAAAACACAGTCTATTACAACAAATGAATATGAAGATATAAAAACACATAATTTAAATAAAATGCACTCACTATAAATACTACACAATTTAAAACATAAAAAGCTCCCTTTATATTAAACAATACCTCTAACATCCACTATTTTCGACTGGGACTGTCGGGTCTCGGGTCTGATCACCTGTTTCTTGTCTCTGTGTTTGTGTGTGGTTGTGCGTGGCTTGTTTTGACAGCTCGCCACGTGCGCATATGTCAGCATGATTGTTTCCCCTGCCCTCCTTGTTTCTCTGCTCGCCTCTTGTTTCACACCTGGTTCTGGTTAACTCATTAGTTTCCCCTTATAGCTCCTCGTGTTTCTCTGTTTTTTGTCAGATTGTTGTGATTATTCCCTTGCTCTGACTGTCAGTGTTAGTATCGCTTACCAGTCCTGTATTGTTTCGTCCAGGCTCCAGTGCTCGTAGCTGCTTATTTATTTTCCCGCACCTCGCTGTGCGTTCAGGAACCCGTGGGCTTCCTCCGGCATCCGCCTACCCTGGGACTCTGCGGTCTCATTGTTAGGCTACTCAGTCTCTCGCTCGGATTAGCGAGCTGCCCCTCCGGCTTCGTCTCCACCGCCGCTGGTGCGGCTTGTTCTAGCCCCTGCTGTCCACCCCTCTGTGTGGTTGGGGATTCCACGTCTGCACGAACTGTCCGCAGAGGCGCTCATTGCCCGGAGGAGGCTAAGGTGGCATACGTCCTCACTCTCCTCTCGGGTTGCGCCTGCGAATGGGGAATTGCCGTATGGAGATCGCGGGCTCCCTGCTTTGCTACTTCTGCGGATTTTCGCCAGGAGATGGCGAAGCTGTTCGACTGGTCAACCCAGGGAGATGAGGCGGCGGCTCAGCTGTCTCGGTTGTCTCAGAGGAGATGCTCAGTCACCGACTATGCCATACAGTTTCAGACTCTAGCAGCGGCTTGTGGCTGGAATGAGGGCGCGCTACGCGCACGATTTCTCGAGGGACTGGATGATGTCATCACTGATGAATTAGCGACTGTGGATCTTCCTCGAGAGCTGGATAATTTGATTAATCTCGCGCTCTGTGTGGAGGGCCGTCTCAACCGCCACCGGCAACGCCATCAATTCACTACTCCGTGGCGCAACCTGGAGTCCGCTTCATCCAATGCGGCGAGTCCACAGTCAGCTGATGTTGAGCCCATGCAACTGGGTCATCTCCGGCTTACGCCGCAGCAGAAACAGGAGCGTTTAGCTCAGGGCCCGATGCTGCGGTTCCGTCCGCCCTGGCTTTTGTTCAGCACTGCCGCCGCACCTGGGAGAAAGTCCGGAGGGTTTTGGTCCGAACCTCAGGACGAACCAAGGCAGCAGCCGATCGTCGCCGGTCCTCTCCTCCAACCTATGTGTGCGGTCAACGTGTATGGCTTTCTACCAGGAATCTGCCTCTCCGGGCACCTTCTCGTAAGCTGGCGCCCAGATTCATTGGGCCGTACCGCGTCACCAAGGTGGTTAATCCAGTGGCGATCAGGCTCAAGCTCCCTCCTGCTCTTGGTCGGGTTTTGACAGCTCGCCACGTGCGCATATGTCAGCATGATTGTTTCCCCCGCCCTCCTTGTTTCTCTGCTCTCCTCCTGTTTCACACCTGGTTCTGGTTAGCTCATTAGTTTCCCCTTATAGCTCCTCGTGTTTCTCTGTTTTTTGTCAGATTGTTGTGATTATTCCCTTGCTCTGACTGTCAGTGATAGTATCGCTCTGTGTGGTTGGGGATTCCACGTCCGCACAAACTGTCCGCGGAGGCGCTCATTGCCCGTGGTGTTAATTATCTGTACAATAAAGCCTCTGTTGAACCCGCACCTGAATCCAGCCTATTCCCTGACAGGGACAGTCAGGCAACCATCAGTCAGGCAATAATCCAGCCACAACACTAAAAACAAAGAGAATAATATCATTAAAACAAACTCCTAAGAACTAGGTCATCAATACTACAAAACTACTACCTCCTTAATCGGTGCATCATATGTTCAGTTCACGACGAAGCTCCGGCATTATTTAACGTAACTGCTTATCTGCTGCCATTCTTTTGAAGTGCTATATCTGCCACAACATCAATTCATACACTGAATGCACTCAATAAAATTAGCGAAGAAGTGAGAGAGCACCTCTCACAAACAAATCTCATTACCTACCATTCTTTTCAACTTCTAAATCCGCCACGACATCCCCGAAATCAAAAGCGGAAGCGAAAGAGCAAACAAACTTCACTACTTCCTTATATAACGCTGGGGCTGCTGGGACTTGTAGTGCCCAAATCATGGTCCCATTACACCAAGATTGAGCGATGCACACGCTGCGGCTTCTCTCTCTCCCGACAGAACGGTGTTTTCATGTTTTTTATCTTGTGAGTCGCAGTGTTTTTGTACGTATTCGTCGTCATGTTTAAACAGGCTGCCACATACAAAACACCACATACTGTCCCCGGACAGCGTGAGGAGATCCCTCAGCAGGATCAACGCATGTAAAGCTCCGGGTCCTGACAACATTCCTGGGCGTGTACTGAGAGACTGTGCAGTGGAACTCACTGATGTCTTCACAGACATTTTCAACATCTCGCTAAGTCAGGCTGTTGTCCCCACATGCTTCAAAGCTACCACCATCATTCCAGTCCCAAAGTAGTCGTCTCCATCCTGCTTCAATGACTACCGTCCAGTTGCACTTACCCCTATCTTTCACAGGAGACGCTGATTGGTTCCTGCTGCTGTCAATCATCCGAGAGGGGCGGGTTAAAAATCAGAGCAGAAAATCAGATTTAACCAGATTTGGTAAAACAAACGTTTATTTAACGCAATATTTGCTCAAGTTTTCTTTAAAAAAAAGAAAAGAATGAACTTTAAACAGAAATAATTTATAATCTTTTGACATACCTATTGGTAGATTTTTATCGGGGTTCTGTCACTTCGGTCTAGTGTTATTCATGGTTTTGTGACAGAGCCCTGACACTCCCGTCATGTCATTGTTTTTGTATGAGCGCGTGGCTTCGGGAGTGCTCGAGCCGCTCTTGTCTGCGTGTCCTGTTTCATGTTGGAGTGTCATGTTCGAATGCCAGCACTCATGTCTTGTTGAGTTTCGGTTTCGTGTCGGGGCCTGGAAACTCGCGCTCCATGTGCTGTCTTGTTGTGGGAGCGTGCGGTCTCGAGTTCGCTCAGGCTGTGTGCTCTTCTGTCTGCGTGTGTTGTATCTTGTGTAGCACGCGGTTCGTGTTCGGCCATGTGCTCTCGTTGTCTTGTGTTGTTGTTGCATGCAGCTCGTGTTATCGGCTGCGTGCTTTCATGTCCTGTTTTGTCTTGTGCTGTGTAGCACGCAGCTTGGTTTTCTCTGGCTGCGTGCTGTCTTGTCTTGAGTGAACAAGCGGCTTATGAGTATTCATATTAGCTGCGTTTTCGTGTCTTGTTTTGTGTGAGCACATGGCTTCTGTCTTTGTTTGATCTGTGCCATGTGCTCTCTTCTTGTTACCTGATTATTGGTTAATTTGCCTCACCTCACCTGTGTTCCCTCATTACCCTCATTTGCTCCCTATTTATTCTCCTTGTATTTGTAGTTCCGTGCCAGTTCGTTATCGTATCACCTTGCCTTGCCTGCCTGTTTTTCCCCCACGGGGTAGTTTTTGTTGCTCTTTTGTTTATTTTTATCAATAAAAGCCAATTTACTGCAGAACTGAGTACACGCCTCATCCCTTCATCCCCTACTCTGACAGTACGAACTGGCCAGAAGAGGACTCAGCAGAGATGGGATCTTCCTTTTTCCATCTCCCACCACCGGATTGTCCACCCGCCAGCTAATGGTCCAGCAAGTAAATGCTCGCTACTTCTGTCAGCAGGGGGCTGACGTGAGGGACTTTGCCTGTGACTTCCTCACTGAGGTGGACAATCTGGACTATAGTGAGGCTGATATTAAGGAAGTCATCAACATCTGCCTCGATCAGCCTCTCAGCCTGTGGGAGATGGAGAAGCTGGGGAATCTTGGCTTCTGGGACTACGTCTACCATCGTGGGGAGCTGGAACCCCCACCCCAAGTGAAGTCTGGAGAAGGAGGAAGAATGGGCCTGCTGCAGCGCCCCCAGAGGCAGCCGAAGATGCAGCAGCTGCGCCCCAAGCATTGCCTGATGAGGCTGCAGCGTTATTCATGGTTTTGTGACAGAGCCCTGACACTCCCGTCATGTCGTTGTTTTCATGTGAGCGCGCGGCTTCGAGAGTGCGCTCTTGTCTGCGTGTCCTGTTTCCTTGTTTCATGTTGGAGCGTGGTGTTGGGATCCCGGCACTCGTGTCTTGTTGAGTTTCGGTTTCGTGTCGGGGTTCGGACACTCGTGCTCCATGTTCTGTCCTGTTGTGGGAGCATGCTGTCTCGGGTTCGCTGGGCCTGCTGCAGCGCCCCCAGAGGCAGCCGAAGATGCAGCAGCTGCGCCCCAAGCATTGCCTGATGAGGCTGCAGCGTTATTCATGGTTTTGTGACAGAGCCCTGACACTCCCGTCATGTCGTTGTTTTCGTGTGAGCGCGCAGCTTCGAGAGTGCTCAAGCCGTGCGCTCTCGTCTGCGTGTCCTGTTTTATGTTGGAGTGTGGTGTTTGGATCCCGGCACTCATGTCTTGTTGAGTTTCAGTTTCGTGTCGGGGTCCGGACACTTGCGCTCCATGTTTTGTTGTGGGAGCGTGAGGTCTCGAGTTCGTTCAGTCGTGCGCTCTTCTGTCCACGTGTGTTGTGTTTTGTATAGCACACGGTTTGTGTTCGGCCGTGTGCTTTTCTTGTTGTCTTGTGTTGTTGCACGCAGCTCGTGTTATTGGCTGCGTGCTTTCATGCCGTTTTGTCTTGTGCTGTGTAGCACGCAGCTTGGTTTTTGCTGGCTGCGTGCTGTCTTGTCTTGTGTTAACACGCAGCTTATGAGTATTCTCAATACTACAGGAGCGAGGTGAGCGAGGAGAGCCGCCTGGCCAGGTGGAGCAGTGACAACAATCTCTCTCTGAATGTGGAGAAGACGAAGGAGATTGTTGTTGACTTCAGGAGAGTGCACACTCAACATGTTCCTCTGACCATCAACGGTGCGACTGTGGAGAGGGTGAGCAGCACCAAGTTCCTGGGTGTGCACATCACAGAGAACCTCTCCAGGACTGACAACACCGCAGCACTGGCCAAGAAAGCACAGCAGCGTCTCTACTTCCTCCGCAAACTGAGAAGAGCCAGAGCCCCGGCCCCCATCATGTGCACCTTCTACAGAGGTACCATCGAGAGCATTCTGACTAGCTGCATCACTGTGTGGTATGGTGCCTGCAACGCGTCCTGCCGCAAGACACTTCAACGCATAGTGAGAGCAGCTGAGAAGATCGTTGGTGCCTCTCTCCCCTCCCTCCAGGACATTTACAACACCCGTCTCACCCGCAAAGCCCTCTGCATTGCAGGTGATCCCACCCACCCGACACACAGCTTCTTCAGTCTGCTGCCATCAGGGAGGAGACTGCGGAGTCTCCAGGCCAGGACCAGCAGACTGAAGGAAAGCTTCATCCATCAGGCTGTCAGGAAGCTGAACTCCCTCCAGACCTTGCCCCCCCTTCCCTCTTTTGCCCCATGCACCTCCGAGCTCTGACCCTCTGACACCACCCCAGGACTCTTCCACTCCTCCCTCCCAAACACACACACACACTGACCTGCACCAGTCACTTTGGGCAGCATTGGACTGCTCACTACCTCATCCAGCATTGTATTGCAAACTACCTCTCTGACAGTTTAATTAAAGACTGTTCTCTGAGCTCTTTAACACTTTAACAGACTGATAAGCTCTTTTTGCACTACACTCATTATATCTTCACAGTTTGTTTATATCACTGGTTTGCACTCTGACTGCCATGTGCCTTACGCCACTTTTTCTATCTCTTTTTTTACAATGCCCTTATTTGTATATTTGTATAGTTTGTATTTTACATATATTTAAACTGTATTTATCTGTATTATGTCTACTGTTAGTGTTAAGTGTTAACTGTATTCACCAAGGGTCTGAGAGTAACGCAATTTCAATTATCTGTATGTATGTGCTGTACATGTGGCAGAATTGACAATAAAGCAGACTTTGACTTTGACTTATAGTTTTGTAATCAATCTATGAGTATATCATGATCTATAGTGTCGAATGCAGCACTAAGATCAAGTAAAACTAGCAATGAGATGCAGCCTTGGTCTGACGCA